GTTTCACCGAATTTCTCGCGACTGCAATCTCGTTTCGCGGACGGATTACGATTGGACAGAATTGAAAGGCGAAAGGGGGAGAGGAAAAAAAAAAAAGAATGGTTCACGGTTTTGTCATAGTCCTCAGAGCTAGTTTTTAAAACCGAGGGGGCTCGAAGACGAATTCGATGGATTGAATAATTCATGTGTTTGAGTTGCACTTTGTAGAAGTTTGAACTCACGATAATAGTTATCGTCTCCCTGGTAATTCTTCGCAATTAACCATGTCCTCTAGTCTTCGCAGTATATGCTCGAAACCGAATCGAATGTCGTCTCGTAGGGTTGGCGTCATAAACGTTTCCCAGAACGGGATGCTTTAGACGAGCGTCTATACCCCTGAACTTGAAACTTGCTGAAAACGCTGGGGATGCTCGATCGATCCCGCCCGCTATTCTCGTCTCCTAATTATTCTTCTCTTCATAAGTTTGTGTAATAAAGTCAGAGATATAATTTGCCTCGGAGTCGCCTTGCGACACTGACGACTACCGAATGTTCTCTCGCCCGTACCGTCATTAAGGTCGAATATTTAAATTAAATTTACGGGTTCCTGGCCCGAGGCTACGCGTAGGCTCCGTGATGTGGTTAGATCGACAAGATGAATCTGTTACGATCGATCTTTCCGATTCTTCTCCCACCGCGGAGAAATGTTTAATCATATTAAATTGTACGTTCGCATGCTGCAGATTTTTTAATATCTCCGACGATATTTAATACGGGATTAGTGCTTTTTATTATTGCACTTCTTATCTAAGATTCGGAGAATCTCCGCGATAACTTGTAACCTTTCCGAGAGACGTGGAATTTTCGTAAATTATTATGAACACTTTCTGCCAGACGGTTTTTAGAGTCTTATAAATTATTCATGAACGTCCTAAACTCGAGAGAATCTTGAGAATATTGACATCCCGCGATTACTTCCATAGCAACGCGAATTTAATTAGCCATCCTATAATTGAACCCGTTTGTTTTATGCCACGGTCATTAAAAATCAAATTTTTCCACGTTCGCCTTCCACGTGTACCACCACCCCTGCGAAAAATTTTTAATCAAACGCGATGCACAATACTAATTTAAACCGTCCAAAGCTTCAACATTGAAAATTGCGACTGCAAGTAAAAAAAATTATGTAGAACTGTAGGAAGGGAATGGGAAAGCTTAGCTAGTTATCTTAAAGAACTCTCCAATTCTTATGTACTACCTTCCTCAGTGCTAAGTATGTTTCACGACTGAACTTGTACAACGCGCTGTTCGGATCGCCAAGGACCGACTGTTCAGTACGGAGTCTACACTATAACTAACAATTTTTATGTCGTTCGTAACCGCCGAATTTCCGTTCGCGGCTGTCGTCGCCTAGCCGTCAATTCTAACGTCCGACGAGCCAGCCTTCAGAGTTTGCAATATTGTTATAAACATTGTTAATACAATCTACTGTCCAAACAACTTTGAGAGCCTATAGGACATCGAATAAAACTTGTCCCTGTCGACTGACTGAGTTTCTCCAAATTCGAGCGTGGCATCGCGTTGCCAGGAAACTTATTTAGTGTCGTGAGAGATAACTGTTAACGAAGAGAAGAGACAGGAAAAAAAATGACCGCTTTCCTGAGACGATCGATCAAGCTCCCTAACAGTCATCAAGCAACGGTCTATGCCGCGAGAAATTACCGCGAACGTGATTTTCTCTGTTCCTTCGCGCGTCGCACGATGTAAATCGTGGTCGATTAATCAGAGAATTACAGAAGTAACAGCAACGGAGCGAGCCTCGAGGCCACCGCCGCGCTGCGAGCCGTGCCGCGCCGTTTCGCAATTAAAAGTGTTAATTTCTCGCATACTCGCGCCGTTTCGGAATTCGTCATTAGTATTTTTCATTTCCGACACCGACCACCGATTCCTGTCGTTGTCAGCCGTCTTCGAACTCTTTACGCGCTCGTTACGAAGCGCGCGACCCGTCGACTACTGTGCCTTTTATAAATCGTCGTTGAAAAAATTGAAGATGAATGATACTTTGCCATGAGAGGATCGCGAGCACAATAGGCGCTGGTTTGAAACAATCGCGAGAAGATTTCGTGGCAGTTTCCCATTTTTGTACCGCGCATTATTTATGAATCATCGTCCGAGGATACAGGATAGAAATAAAAATAAGGAAACTCCAAGCAGTCCAACGTCTGCTATCAATTAAGAATGTCAATTTGTAAAGCACTGGCGTAATTTGCATCGAACGGAATCGTCCGCCCGTCGTTATAATATATTTTGCGAGATGAGAAGAGCCTTGAGATCCACTAATCGCTCATCCAAGCGCGTTAATAATAATCCTCGCTTAAAGAAATATTTCGTGCGCGATTTCATCGTCAATTTCGCGAATGAATCAAACAGTTGCTTTTTTTTTTTATTCTCCGGCCGATAAAAATTCTTGTTCGCTTAGATAGCCGGGTTAAAATTTGAAGAACTTCTTTATTACACAATGTACTGTTACCATACGCTGGGATCAGTAATGTAGAAAAGGTAATCGTGTCTCGAGAGCGAAACGAGGCGCGGCCAGGGTTAGAAGATATCGCGGAAGAAATTAGTTCAGCAATAAAATTCCATCGGTTCCGTGGAAGCGCCGTTAATTAGCCAGTTTACGATTGCTCCTCTTTATGGCAGCGTTTACGAGTGTTGTTCCTCTTTCGAAGAAAACGACGTCTCTCAGGGGGAAACCGTCGTTTAAAAAAGATCGCCGGAACTCTAATGTCAATGCGACACGTCCGAAAATCTTGTGGAAACCGGATGAATCGATCCGAGACGCGTACGCATCGAGGAGTTTAATCGGAATTGGGCAATTCGATCTGAATTTCCTGCTTGCTCGATTCCTTGATCCTCTTTCGATTAAACCGTGACCGGTCCCCGTGTAAAGAGAGAGGACTGTTTCTAAATGAGGAGAGAACGGCGCGAGGAGGAGAGAAAGAGAGAACGATCGCGTTACGTGGGCCCGAGCGCGAACTTGACACCGGCAAGGACGCGTTTCGAAAGGAGGAAATAAAAAATACTGGTCCCATGCCGTTAAAGGACGTGGCAAGTCAGCTGTTGAAGACGTGCGCAACAGCGATCGCCGAATAAATCACCGAGCGAGAGAACCGAGCCGAGACCAGTCGAGGTCGTCCGTGTACGCTGTACAGTCTCCTGACTTTGGCCCCCGAGGATAGTAAAGAGGATCCTCGCGAGATTCGCGAGACGATTAACGGGATACCCAGTTTCCTATTCGTTGTCCGATCGAGCTTCTCTTCTTCAATTTGAGATTCATTTTTGTCTGCCGTTCGGCCCGACCAAAAAAGCCGGAGATGAAAGGTACTTGGATTTTATTCCAGATTCATTGAGTCTCTCCTTACGTAAACTACTCAAATGAAATATCACTGGATCGCAATTAAATTTTACACCCTGAGAAAGAGAGACGAGCCAGTTGAAAACAGGACGGAGCATCGACATGGAAAAGCGTGATCCTCGGAAGGCCATTTGTGATCCCTGGGCGTGGCAACGAGAAAGGAATCCGTGGTTTTACGTAACAATCTCGAGCGATCCGCGATCGCCGGCCAGGAAACCGGCGCGACGCGACGCGACTGCTGGCGCACACCGTTTCTCGCGTGTCCAAGATAGTTTCCATGGCTCCCGTCGTCCTCCCGGTGCGATACCCTCGTCCCCGTTCGCCGGCCGACCACCGAGAAGTCCGAACACGCATCGGGTCGTAATTTCAGGACGAAATCTCGTGACCCGAGTGAATTACTCGTTGATCTCTTGTCCCTATATGATCCGTTCTGCGCGTATCACCGGAGCGGACGCGAAGAGATCCGAGAATCAGACGATTGGTCGGTCGCGCAATTAAAATGAAATTGGGGAGCGGCGGGGAGCGACGTTAGAGCGTGTATAGACGCGTAACGGACAGTCTAATGAGGATCCGGTGACTCGAAAAAGGCATCTCGCCGAGAAACCGGTTCATCGGGCAGAAATTACCGGGCCCCGCGATCCCGTGGCCGGTTTTCGTGGAACCGGCGGAAGTCGCGCAACTTTGTTTCCACCACGCGAGATAGGGGACCGCCGGAATCCGTTTCCTCCTCTCGGGTATCAATTAGATCGGACAAATTAGAACAGCCAGCCGGGTCAATATTGATACCGGGTCTGAAATCGGGTGGCGCGGCGCGGTAATGAGCGCCGAGGTTTTGCTCTTTTTCCCGACGAAGACGAAGCGGGAGAAGAGAAAAATAAGTGAAAAGTGTAGAAAAAAAGAGGTATTTAAGGCTACCGACGGACGAACTACCGTACAAAGAGAGCCGAGACACACCGAGGGCAGGAACAAAAAGGGGCAGAGAGAGGAAGGCGAAAGACGGACAGAGACGAAATAAAAAGACCTGGAAGGGGGAATTAAGAGAGGAAGAGGGAAGAGGGAGAGCGAGAGAGATCTATGCGGTAGCTAAAGCCAGTCAGTCAGGTATGCCTGCAGGCTAGGCCATGATAGACAAGGCCATCCTCTCCCCGCTTTACACGTACGCTCCGGCTACTGCCAGTCCTCGTTTACATTTATTTATTTATAAATATACCGGCACGGCTAATGCGCCGTCTCGGCACCGGAGCAGAGAGAAGGAGGAAGCGGAGCAACCAGCCGCACGGATGGAAAGAGACCGGACAGTCCAGACGACGATGACGATGGAACCCTTCACCTGTCGATTGCCTCTCTTTCGTTATTCGGTTAATCGCGGCGCAATTGCGATAGAAACGAACCGCCGTCGGAGACCGATCGCGTATCAATGCGAAATTCTCGAAAATAAATAGAAAAGCTTCCTCTTTCGATTTTCATTTTTATTCTAACGACCTTCGAACAGATACGATGTCCGTTGAACAAATACGATTTCACTTTCGACTCGAATATTACGCGTTGATCGTGATTGAAGTCTGTCCGAACGTAATCTGACGGCGTCGATTGATTCTGATTGCAGATATTCGGTAGCAAGGCGGACCTCCAGCTCCACACGCAGATTCACATGCGCGAGGCGAAGCCGTACAAGTGCACCCAGTGCTCGAAGGCGTTCGCGAACTCCTCGTACCTGTCGCAGCACACAAGGATCCACCTGGGCATCAAGCCGTACCGCTGCGAGATTTGCCAGCGGAAGTTCACCCAACTGAGCCACCTACAGCAGCACATCCGCACGCACACCGGTGACAAACCGTACAAGTGCCGGCATCCAGGCTGCACGAAGGCGTTCAGCCAGCTGAGCAACCTACAGAGCCACTCCCGCTGCCATCAGACCGACAAGCCGTACAAGTGTAACTCCTGCTACAAGTGCTTCTCCGACGAGCCCAGTCTGCTCGAGCACATACCGAAGCACAAAGAGTCGAAGCACCTTAAGACGCACATCTGCCAGTACTGCGGCAAGAGTTACACCCAGGAGACCTACCTGGCGAAGCACATGCAGAAACACGCGGAGAGGACGGACAAGAGACCGCCGATAATCGGCACCGGTCTCAGGCCGTCGATCCACGCGATGGCCACCCACCACCAGGACCACTACTGGCCGAAGGTCAGCCCCGACTCGGTGATCAGCGATCTTCACGACCGACTGCCCCATCACCACACCGACTACCATCAGAACCAGAACCCGGAGATGCTGCTGCCAGGCCACGGGCACCGGACTGAGTCCATAGAGAACGACTCCAGGCAGCAGACACCCCAACCGACCGCCAACCACCACCCGAACAGTAGCTCTGCGTTCACGCCGATCTCCTCGATCTCGATAAACTCGATCTCATCGATGCAGCACCCGCTGAACCCATTGAATCACCTCCACTACCCGGCCAGCCATCACCCGGCGTCCAGGCCGTACCTCTACGAGGCGTTCAACTCGACGCAGAAGTCGTCGCCGGCGTCCTCGTCCTCCGGTGTCACATCCGGCACCACCACCAACCAGAACGCGACGTCGTTCCCGAACCAACTCATCAGCCTCCACCAGATCAGGAACTACGCGCATCAACCGAATCTAGGGAATCTGGGCAACCTCGGGAATCTGGGGAACCTGAGCAACCTGAGCAATCTGAGCGCGACGATGGAGAGTCACGCTCTCCTCGGCGGGCTCAAGGATAAACAGTAACTCCGGCCGGTCTTGGAGATTAGGGGCAAAATAATTATTCTATTCGCTAGTTTTCTCCTCCTCGTTTTTTTCTTCTTTTCTTGTTTTTCGTCGTGTACATTTGTTCCTCGCCCACCCGTGTCCCGTTGTTTCTCCATGCTCGAACTTCCGATGACCGACGTTCGAACGACGTCCCACCCGTCACTTTTCTTGTTTCCTCCGCAAGGGTGGCACGTCGAGCGAACCGGTCTTTCTCAGCTTCTCTTCGCATCTCGAAGACCGAGTCGCGCTTGGCGAACGCACGGCTCGTTGGCTGACTCGCGTGCACACAGAACAATGAAGTAGAACATTTTTTTCGAAAATCATCGGCCGACAAGCGAGGCGTTCGTTCGGTCGGACTTGATTATAGTTTTGCGGTGTGTGCGTGTACGTGTGCAAGCATCTTGTTATGGTAAGTACGGTCTTGTCTGGCTCGGCGCTGCGGATGACTACTCGCTCTGGGTTCTCCAGAAACACCAAAATCATTTCTCACTTCATGTGTATTTCATATCTTTATGAGAGTCAAAGAAATTGAATTTTTCTTTATATACGCCTGCATATATTTCCGAAAGAAAGTGCCTTTTATTTATAGTTTTTAGCGTCAAAACAAAAACGTTTCCTAACGTTTGTAATTTTGTGTTGAATCGAAGATGGAAAGAGACGACCGATCGTTTCTTTACGAAAACTGTTCGCGAGTCGAATACAGTTCTTAATCATTTTAACGATCTTCATATTCGACCATCGTAAAACTGCGTGAAACACAAAAGTCTGCTTGTTTCACGTTACGAATAGAGAAAGATTAGAAAGTCCCTGTTCGATATCGCATCGATTGGTTTTACCTCGACCGGCGTGAATTGGCAAAATTGTTCGCGATTGAGCCTTCCGATGCGACTGATCGCTGATTAACTTTCACATTTAGCGTTTAAGTAGAAAGTAGCCCGAAACGAAATAATCGGGCAACGCGTTGTTCCTTGAGCTCGAGTTCCCGTAGCGAATGGTCAGCCAATGAAGAGGACGATCCTGAAGCACTCGACTCTCTTCCCGCACGTTTCCAGCCAAATCTTGAGCTCTCTTTCTCTCTCTCTCTCTCTCTCTCTCTCTCTCTCTCTCTCTCTCTCTCTCTTTTCTTGAGATTCCAAGCGAACGACTCCTCCGGGAATATTCCCCTTCATTTACTGTTATCCTTGTTTAATCCCTGACAGCCTGGTGATCCCATCGCAGCTCCAGTTCATGATTGATCTTGTAGATGTTACAAGTGTTGAGTAGAACGGGGTAGTCTTAGGATGGATCTCAGGAGTTGTCGGTTTATCTGCTTTCTACTTTGCTCGATTACAAAATATCTTTCTACTTAATTCTTTTTCCTATACATTTACCTAGCACGTGAATGTAAACGGAATGCCCTTAATTGATGGCAGAGGGCACGAAGCACTTATCAACAATTAATAAGATTTCTTAAAACAACAACGAAATTTTGTCAATTTTTAAGAAATTCTTCTTGCTCCAGGTATTTTGTAAACCAATTAGAATCAATAAACGATACCGTTTCCAGGACTCCAGAGTCCCAACGAGAACCAGACAAAGCTTCAACGTACACACATTTTCACTAATACCTGAAACACACACAGAATCAGGAACATCTTATTTAAAAGGAATTTGAATCGCAATTTAGGATCGTTTTACACGGTTATGGGAAGGAGTAACGATAAAAATATGTAGAGCACAATACAGGCAGAGAATCGATGGGACCGCCGGCTATTTCGTTGTTTCCACCGTTCGTGCCACTCGGCAGGACTTCGTAAGTGGGAACAGCGAAACAGGAGAAATCGTGTCGTGAAGTAGAGCTATTTTCCAAAGGGGGTGGCTCTCCCCCTCGAACCAGCCCGGGTGCCGGGTGGTGGAAGGGTGGTGGGCGCATCTTTCTGGGTCGAGTGGATGTTTCGCTCGCAACGGGATAATTAACGAAGCGAGCTTGTATGCGTGCGTGTCTGAATGAGCCGGAAACCCGTACATGGTCTCGGGTCTTCTTGCCCGTGTACGCGTTCTCCGTGTCGCGTTCATGCGTGTGTGCACGGGAGTCAGAGAAAAAGAGTGGGAGTCTAAGCATCGCACGCACTTTTCTAAATACTAGTTACACGCGTACTTACTTACACGTTTACGCGAGGGCACAAATCGTGTGAATACCTTGGAGGACGGTGCGAGATGGACAAAGGGAGAGGAGAACGAGCGAGGGAAAAAGGGTTGACGGAGAATTTAGAGTAGTGCCGCGAGACGATGAATGCGAAAGTAGTGGAGATAATAGTGAATTACAGGGGGAATAGAAAAATGGAGAGAGGAAGAGAGGACGGAGTAGAGAGAGAGAGAGAGAGAGAGAGAGAGAGAGAGTGAGATCGGCCCGAGGAAATGGCTTCAGCCGAGCCTCGTGGCTGGTACCGGGCCAGTATTGAGAGAATGGTAGAGGGTGCTATAAAAATGGAAAAGAAAAAAGATAACGAGAGTTGAAACGCGAGGAATCACCGCACACTGGCGCACAGAAAAAGAGAGGAAGAACGAGATATGGAGAGAGGGAGAGAACGGTACGGAGGACCTCCTTTGTACATAGTTATTATATAAATATATAAATATATATATATAAATAAATGAATAAATATTATATATTATTATTATTATTATTAATTGATTAATTAATTGATTGATCAATATTCGGTAGTTGCGTAAGGGAGAGAAAAGAGAGAAAGAGGATATAGACTCTACTGAAGATATTCTAAGTACCTTGTCTAACGAGAAAACAGCGAAAGAGAATACGTGTGAGTGTGTTCAATGCGAATGAATGAATGAACGTGGGAGAGAGGGGAAAGAAGCAAGCAATCGTTGCCCAAAGTTACTTACAATAATGTTCTTTTTTTTTCTTAAGAGGCGCGTTTCCGTGTCTCCGAACGATCCCGACGATCTACCGTTTCCTTCTGCACGTTGAATTTCGCCTTATTTTTCGCTGGTTCTGAACAAGAAATAAAATCGTCTGGATCGATCGGAACCGTTTAGAAAAATTTCAGGCGTGCCGACGTCGAATTGCGAGGAAAGGAAGAAAAAAAGGGGAAGAACATGTGTACTGCGTATAGATAATTTCTTGTTACGGCGTCGCGCGTGTGTCTCGTCCCGTGGATCCTCTCGCGAGCCGATCTGCCCAAGAATTTTTATTTCGACGTTCTCAACCCGCAATAAAATGAGTTCACCATTTTTCGTTTTAAGTTTTATTTCGTTTTGATAGCGTCCAGTCGCTCTTCGGACAGAGTCTGAACGTTCTACCGAATATCTGTTCTGGATACAGAGACGAGAATCCATGAGACAAGACACGTCGACGTCCCACCTGTGCTCAAGTTGTTTAAAAAAAAATACTATTAGTTTGTTACTAAGACGATGAAACGAGCGAATGGACGAGTGACAGGCGACGAGCGAGAGACGTTTTAGGTATGAACGACGACGAAAACGAGAGCGACGGGGGTCAGTTAAGAAGAGCACCGTTCAGGCTTCCGTTTCCTTCGACGTATGTTTTCCTCATTGCGGTATTGTTATGAGAAATAGGAGCGAGACGCGCGAACAACCGAGGGATAGTTCGTTGATTAAAACGCACTAGAAGGGATATGCAAAGTGTTTTTTTCGTTGAAACTGAGAATCGCGAGGGGTAGGGACAGGTCGAAAGTGAAGAATTTTAGTTTTTTCGGGGGTGGTTTAAAATAAAATAGAGCGTCGTCGTGCCCCCGCGCTTTAATTGTGATCTTACTTTCTGTCTATCATTTAGTTTCCATTTGATGATTATTTTATTATTATTTTATTATTATTATTATTAATAATATTATTATTATTATAATTATAATTTCGTTTAATAAACTATCACGTTAAAAGAAGAAACGTTGGTTTATGAAGAAGAGACATGCTGACGATTTTCCTCTGTCACGCCGTCATCTCCGATCTGCATCGGGACACCTCCTCTCTCATCTGCTCTTCACGTGGACGAAGAAGAATCGTGAAGGAATTCCTGTTCCTTTTTTTTTTTCATGTACTGCTTAGTTTTCTTTTCACCGCTGAAATTCGCAGAAAGATGCCGTCCATTATAGTTTCCAAAAGGGGTGCGATGGATCCGACGCTAGTTTCTCAAGCTCGTCGACATTCGACACAAGGAAAGCAAAAACAACGATCCTTCCGTTCCGTGCGCGTAATCGATTCGTTCAAGAAAGTTAATTCATTTTCTAGCAACGAATATTAGAAGCCTGACACGTCAGCTTGTCGAAGAGTTGCAAAGCGGCGCTTGTGAAAAATAAATTATCATTCGCTGACCAGTAATGAATAATTCTCTGATTCGAAGTGAGGAGAGTCATAGAAATCATCACTGCTATGATTCTGTACTCGCTAAATACATGTAACTTCGACAATCTTCTTTCTATCGTATTATTTTTTTTACTTTCGCCGTATACTTTTAGTCGAAACGAGTAGGAAACATCCCTCGAGTCCCTTTAACCCTGAAAGATCGATTCGTTCGTCCCTTCGACGATTCATAAACGTGGTAGTTTCGCTGATACTTAAACATTTCTTATGTTAAAACTATATTGTTAACCGCGAGAACGCGTACGAGAAGATTACTTATTCCCACTATTGATTAATCTTCTCGATTGTGATAGCAATTCGTTGACTGAAGAGTGGAAATTGAAAAGACTGTCTACATTTTGCTTTACCTGTATTACATTGTTAGCGAGGTTCGTGGAACGTTTCTTAATCCTTGATAGGGGTGTGAAATCCGAATGGTTTCAACAACATCCTCCCCGTTCCTCGAGTGCTTCAGGGTTAAAGCGGGCCGTACTTGAAATATTTTTACACTTCACGCTCGTTACGCAACCATTAATTTAAAGCGAGGAGAGAGAGTATGAATGGAACTACACGTGTATCTGTGCGTATGAGCAATAAAATAAAGGAATGAGAGGGAAAGAGCGAATTAAAAAAAAAAGATCGAGAGACTCTCACATAGGCAACGTAAGGAGAACAATATATTGATTATGTATATTGCGTGGTACGAACAGAACTGTGATATTTTATTGTATAAATTTACGGAGAACAAAGAGAAGAGAAAAAAAAAGAAGATGAAGAAAATATGAAGAACAAATGGATATTAATTACGGTAGTAGAAACACACGCGCGGGATATTACTGTATTTTACAAAGAAGTGCATCCTTAAGCCATTTAAATGAAAGGAAAGAAAGAAGGAAGGACGAAGAGAGAAACGCTGTCGTATATAAATAGGTATACGAAGTGCGTGCGCGCGTGACCGGGTATCCCTTTTCGAAGATTGAGTCGCCTCCGATCCCGTGCGAATCGTCGAAGCAGCTTTCGAGCGAGAGAGAAGCTTTTTAATAATCGATAATAACGAATAATCTTCGAAAATGAATAATTAAGAGATAAGTAAGTGTCCTCTGTCCGGTCCATTCTCAACTTCGAAAGGAATACCGGGGCCAGTTCATTTTTTTCTTTTCGGGCCGATCGCGAGGCCCGAGCGTCTAATCGTTTCCTGTTTGTAAAGTATATATATAGATATATATTATAGATATATTATATATGAATTAAATGTTTGATAAGAGAAAGCGTAAAAGAAGAGCGATATGATTAACTGATCCGATTGCGACGTATTCACAGGATGGATTTTAAAGAGAAACACGTACCCAGATACACGCAGAGACAAGGACACGTATACGCGCACACACGGACACTCTGTTTAATAGTTTATATAGGGAGTAAGGAAAAAAAAATGCATACATTGATGAATTACGTCTTGTAAAATGTCGATCACGTTTTTTCGTGCTGCATACACCGAATCATCCCGTGCTCCGAGAACGAAATCGTGAACGAATATCGAAGAACACACACGTTGTGTGTTTCCTAATCCCCCCCGCTAATCGAGCAAGCCCGAGACGTGGAAACGGTCGAGCAAGAGATTGGAAGAATGATTACTGATACAGTTAGGTGATATTGTAATTGTATAGGGAAAGAATGGAAGTAATAGCGTAAACTGCGAACACACCGGTGAATTTTTATTCGTTTGGAGAAATTTTGTCGAACAACGAGGAATATTCCGGCGGCGATTTTACGCGACGACAAATTTGTGTCCCCGTGTTTTCTTTTCCCTTCCCGCGCGACATCGATAGACGTCCGCCGACGAACAAGAAAGAATTTTGGTCCCATCCGTCTGAAGCGACTCTTTCAAATTTACCACGACACATGTAGATAACAATTTTTCCTTAATAAAATACATTGGTTAAAAAAAAAGAAGAAGCAACGGTACAGTATGATTGCAAGAGGAAAAGACCCCTGTCATAGTGGTAAAACGGCGTGATGGAAAGGAGGAGCCGTTTCGTTTAATGAATCGTCACTTTAACGAACAACGAAATATTCCACGTATGTTTTAAGTGTTATGGCTGTTTGATAAAGTAATATTCCCAATGTGGTGTACTTATAAGTCGACTTTCAAAGTTTTTCGCGACCATTTCTTCTTGATCCATTGCGTTCCGAGCAGACAGATCTTGTAAAGCAAATCCCGACCCGTCATGGACATTAGCTGTTCGTCCTTTTTAATAAATATACCAGAACTTACGTCTCCGCCGAGTCTTTTATGATTCCTATTGAATTTCAATTTGGATTAAAAATTATCCTTTTCATTCTCTCTCAATTGATACACCAAAGCATTTAATGTTCTCTGACAACGTGATTTTAAAGTGCGGGAGACATCGAATTCGAATTTGAATTTGCGGCTCAGATGTCGCACGATGTCGAGAAGTGTTTCAACGATATCTAGATTGAAACGCGACAAACTTCTCCCCATGATGCCATAGGAAATGCTTTTATTTTCATGGCGCACGCGTACTTCGAGAGATATGTCACGATCAGCTGATAATATAGGTAGTAGTGGGAAGAGCGAAAATGGCCAGCGTGCGAGTGATCAACTCCGTTGTCAGGTAACTGTCAGAAGACATACCTCTGTTCAACTGTGAACACACCGGATAGACGATATTCTCCCGCAAATGTTTAGATAAACGATCAACATTACACCATGGCGTTTCTCGAGGTCAGTCTCACTTTTTGGTAGTCTTTCCGCCGCGACGATAACCTCGACCACGACGCCGTGACACACGAGAATATTTCTCTTTCAGTGGCGGAGGTTCAATTTCTTCGACCTCAAAAAAGAAGTCGATGCCGGGAAGGTTGCCAAGGCGCTCGGCGTAAGTTTCGTGAATTCAGACTCGATCAATTTCTGAGCAGCGCGAGTTCATAGCTGTATCATGCATTTCGTTGATTAGGAGGCCCAAGTGACGGCAGCCACCAGCGGTAATGGGAACTTAGTGTTCGGGGACGACACAGGCAATGTGCATTTAGTGAACAGGACCTACGACGTCACCACGTTTCGCGCGTACGAGATCACGTTAACTCTAGCACAACAAGTTCAACATTCCACTTTCTTATTCACAATTGGTGTTAGTATTCTCATAGGTCCACAGTCACTACAGCGGTGCTTCTTACTTATCGTCTTACTTATCATATGTATCGTAGGAAGATGAGCCAGGTTGTAATCCTACAATAAAAGTTTGGAATTTGGCTAAGCCAGACAAGCAGGGCAATCCAACATGCGTCCGTATCAGTAGAGCCATACCTAGTTACAGAGCGGTTCCTGCGACTGCTCTGTGCGTGCACACTAGTCTTACGTTAATGGCTGTTGGATTTGGAGATGGTTCCATCATGCTGTATAGGTAAAACTGAATTATTCAAAACGAGCTTGCCCTAATTTTTCAACAGTTTTCAATACGATGATTCTATTATCTAGGGGCGATTTAACTAGAGAAAGAAAGAACAAGATAAAAGTGTTGAAGGATACTAATGTTTCTATCACTGGTCTAGCAATAAGATCCACTAGCAAACAAAACCACTTATTTGTTGCTACACCGAATAGTGTATTTCTATACAATGTTACTCTTAAGGATAAAGAATTTAAGTCTCCCTTGGACACTATGGGTTGTGCCAGAAAGTGCAGTGTTCTCGCCGAGTCGATGCAAGACAGCCATTTCATGATCGGCCGAAACGACGTAATAATATTAACAGAATTTCTATATAAAACGTCTAACTACCTTTTTGCTAATAAACTTGTATTACATTAGGCAATTTATTGTTATACACCAGATGGTAGAGGTCCTTGTTACGCAGTAGAAGGTCAGAAAATAATGTTAGAATGGTTTAGGAGTTATTTAGTTATTATAGCTAAAGAAGCCGCTAACGTTCCGAGAACGTCGACGACCATTTCGGCAAAGCCAAGGTAAAAGAGTTCTATACATTCGCGCTTCTTAAATTACTTAAGAATACATTCTGAAACTGTCTACGTTTAGTACCATAGAACCGATACCGCCAGGAGTAGATAAACATGTGATTACAGTTCTTGATATACAGAACAAGTTCATTGTTTTCTCTGCGCCAATGTTGTCCGTGCAAGCTGTTTTATCGGAATGGGGTGGATTTTTCATACTGAGCGGCGATAGTAAACTATATCATCTGGATGAGAAAGATTTACAATCCAAATTAGCATTACTCTTCAAAAAGAATTTATACGACGTATCGATAAGGTATGTGCACGGATTTTTAACAAGAGCCGAGAAAAACGCATCGATCAACGTATGCCGTATACAGGATAGCCAAAAATCAACAGTACGACGCTGAAGGGCTGGTTGATATATTTCGACAATACGGAGATCATCTGTACTCGAAAGGGGATCATAATGGAGCGATAGAACAATATATTAAAACGATTGGGAAATTAGAACCATCGTACGTAATCAGAAAATTTTTAGACTCCCAACACATTGATAATCTAACGACTTATTTGCAAGCTCTGCATAAAAATGGGCAGGCGACAGAAGACCATACTACTTTATTATTAAATTGCTACACGAAACTTAATCATACGGATAAGTTGAAAGAGTTCATCATGGTAAATGATCACGAATTTGTACATAAACCTCTGATCGTTGATCCAATGTGTATTATATTAAGTAACGTGTCTTAGACGAAAGACAGGGAGGTGGATTTCGACGTCGAAATCGCAATAAAGGTTTGCCGACAAGCATCGCCGGAAGATGCCCTGTTGTTAGCGCAGAAACACGGTCGTCACGAATGGTACCTCCGGATCCAGATAGAAGATAAGCACGAGTACAAAAAGGCATTAGAATACATGGCAACTCTGGAGTTTGAAGAAGTACGTCCTCGTATTATTCAAATCTTTATTCTGTTCATTAATTGTGGACAATTTTCTAGGCAGAATCGAACATGAAGAAATATGGTAATATCCTCATAGAAAATGTGCCAAACGAATCGACGCAATTTCTAAAAGCTTTGTGCACCAATTATAGGCCTTCGAATAAACCGCTTGTAGACCAGGTAGGGTTTAAATAAGTTCAGTTGTCAGAATGAACGTTAATCTTGATATTTCATTCGAAATAGGAAACTTTAGATGGTACCGTGGACCAACATATCGATAAGGCTAATCCCGAAGATTTCATTCACCTCTTCTTAAATAACTCTGAACGTCTGGTAGAATTCTTAGAGCACTTGGTAAAAACAGATACCAAGTTAGTATATCCTTATAGAATGTCAAAATGTGACTTGTGTTTCTTTATAAATCAGATGTTTTGATATACAGATGGAGCACTCTCGTCTATAATACATTGGTGGAGCACTATCTCCATGTTTGGTCAGCTTTAGACAATGACGGAGCGAAAATGCAATACGAGCAGAAAATTGTTCGACTCTTACAAAATTCGGAGGCTACTTACAACAAAGATCAGATATTAATTCTGTGCCATCAACATAATTTCAGACGAGGATTACTGTTTCTTTACGAGGAGAATAAACTGTACGTTGAATAATTTGCACGGTCAGCGATCATGTTTCGAGATATCGTTTCATCTGTTAATATTTTTTAACAGATATCAGGAAATATTGCGATTCCATTTACGAGAAGGTGACAGCGATCAGATTTTAGCTACGTGTAAACGATTCGGACATCAAGATCCGAATTTGTGGGTTCAGGCGTTATGGAGCGTCGCAAGGAATAAAGAAGCACCGGCCAAACTTCTCGCAGACATATTAGCTTACATAGGTACCTTCAGAGCTTTGTTTAATTTTAATTCGTATGTATATAAAGCGTAGCTAAAAAATAAATTTTTCGTAGCACAAGAAAGACTTCTGTCACCACTGATGGTGATCGATGCTATCTCTACTTCGCTTTCGTGCACGTTAGGAGATGTAAGAACGTACTTAAACAGCGTGTTAAAAACGGAACACAAGCAGACGCAAGTAGATATAGAATTAACCGAGAAGTATCGAACGGATACCCAGAAGATACGAGAACAAATAGAATCGATTAAAAATAGCACGATAATCTTCCAAGGATCGCGTTGCAGTGCATGTCATCATCAATTGGAACTGCCATCGGTACATTTTATGTGTCAACATTCGTACCATCAACAGTGAGTTCAATTTTGTACCGCCTACATGTGTATATCTCAAATATTATGATTGACACTCATTTCTATCAATATGGTAGCTGTTTCCAAAGCTTCTCGGAAAACGAAAACGAATGTCCGGCCTGCCTACCGATTAATAAAAAATTGCTGGACATCATAAAAGCGCAGGAACAGTCTCGAGATCTCCACGAAACGTTTCATAGTTTATTAGACCGAGCTGAAGACCCGTTCTCTTTGGTCGCCGACTATTTCGGTCGCGGTGTCTTTAAAAAGTTGATGGTGATCACCGATAACGATAAGTCGATGAAGTTCCAGGAACAAAAATTGAACTATGGACCAGGAGCGGAAGCTAGGATAAGATTAATAGAAGGGAAGAATCCAGCTTCAGGTATACAGATCCGTAATTGATTCTCTTTTAAACTCCTCGCATTGTGCTTTTAATTACAAGTTAAATGTTTCGCTTCAGGGAAAACAGAAACTCGTCGTCCTTACGATAATCTCTCTACAACGGCAGATGATCGTCTACGATCATTTCCCAAAACTGATCTGTATACCTCGTCGTTAGAAGCGAATATCTCTGGCAGCGGCAGTGGTATATCGACTCCGCGAGGCAACTCGAGGAAAGCTTCGCCAGTGCCTATAAGAGAGGCTCGTATTCTAAATAGCATAACACCCAAATCTTCACCTGCCAAGTCTTTTGTACCACCGAAAACACCGATCGTAGCTTCCAATCCATTCGAGGTGGACGACTACGACGAATCGAAGAACCCGTTCTCCGAAGAGAAAGATGACGATGATGATACTAATCCCTTTAAGAATGACGACGACACGAATCCTTTTAAAGATGACGACGACGACGAGTATAACAAGAACTTGAATCCTTTTGGTACATAAATTGCATTTATTCCATTTAACTGAATTACTAAGGTCGTGAATAGTCAGTGAATCACGCGTTATTAACGATTAACGAAAATCGTCTCGGCTTCTGAACAAAGAGATTATAAACCACCCACATATATAAACTTGTAAATCGATTGCATAAGTTCAGTTCAGCTTTTATCAGTATAATCCTAGTTAAAGGATACGTCTGTTAGTCAGTCCAACTGTATCACGAATTTTATATTACTTTTTCCATTTTCTATGTACATCTTATGAAAAACGTACATACATACGGTGCTTTACGTAACTTGTAAAATGAAACGCTATATTCACGGTAACGAAAAATTAAACATACATTGATTGTATATATTTATTTATATATCGTGTTTATTTCACAAAATATCTATTTATCCAATGAGTATTAAAAAGGTCTTTACATTTTACGAGGAGTAAATGTTTCCCAAACAATTAATAAATATTACTTACGCCTAAAAGGTACAATATCGTGCAGCTATGTATGTTCTAGTATGTGCTTCCATTCAGATATTTGATCACTTATTCTAAAGGCATTCCAATTATTCGCGGTTTCCGTGATCCGTGGTTTCGCAAACACGGCGGTGCGGTACTCTTCGGTAGGTACCGGTGTAAAAAAGTCAGACAACATCGGTACAATGTCCCTTTGCCTTGGCTCAGGATCCTTGCTACGAGTTAATCTACTTGGTAATTGATTTTCATCTATACTTAGATCCACCAGATTCTTATAGACGGCCTCGTCAAGTGGAAAGTCTAAGGCACTGGAAACCTACAAAAAAAAATCGATTTTATGCTGATCTTGCATACATAGGCCCTCCCTCGTTTCGTTTCATACCTTTTCGTTTATAAGATTTTTATACACAGGTAGTAAGTGATCAACGTCAGGTACAATTCTTTGCTTTTTAACTTCGTTTAATTTATTGATTGTACACATAATTGAATTATATTCAGGTCTTGCCAATTTGTCCCCAGATATAATTGGTTTTACATTAACGTTTTCGGCGGTCTCAGAAAATTTTATATCACTCTCCTTTTTGTGTACTACCCCTGGACCAATATAAGCCTGTATCTTAGGACCAATAATATTTCTTATAACAGTCTTCTTAACAGCTGGAGTTTTTACTTTCTTTGGACTTTTACTGTATTTGTAACAAGGCATAACATCGACAACCTTAGATTTAGATATTGTATGCTTTTTGGTTTTAACTGAGACAGGTGTTTTATTACTGAGATTTGAATTCTTTTTAGTAGTATTAACAGAAGACAGTCGAGCTTTGTGTTTCAAAATTTCTGAGTCTGAGGATCTTTTAGTTGACCCTTTAATGCTTTTCTTAATTGCTCCTGTTTTATTTTCTTTACTCTCTTCATCTTTTGTACTATCTGTTCTTGGAAGATTACTATTATCTATTGCTGGTCTAATTGACTTCTTTATCTTTCTGTTTTGTTCGACCAAAGAGATATCTGTATCACTGATGGAGGAATCAGCTTTGGGCGTATAGATATTTTTACAATTCGCTTTAATATTTTGAATATTATTAGCATCGTTCAAGGGTGTATGACTCTCTATTTCAATACAATCTTTATTCAGGGATTGTGAAGTTCGAATCATTTTTGAGGAAACAGCTGATGAATTTGTTTTCATTGCGTTATTAATCATTTTCGAATCGTTGCTCGCTCTATTAGTAGGTGATTCATTTAATTTGATCAATCGAATATCTTTGTCGAATTTTACATTACTTAGAATCTTCGGTTTAATCATTTGTTTAACATCTTTCGAGATGTTCGTATCTTCTGGTGCTTTTGTTAATTCGCTGTTGTCATTTTGACAGAAACGAACTTTCGGTTTAACAAAGAATTTTGTGCCTTTGGACATTGTTTGCAAATGAAATACGAAAATGTCAAAAACACGGCTACACAAGAAACGAATCTATTTATAACCTTTATCTTAGCAGAGGTTTTGAATAGTATCAAGCAACTGTTAAACTAAAACCATAAAAAATCTTACTCCATTCGTTCATGAATTTAAAATGCTCGTTCTCCGGGATTTCCCGCAGTATCAAATGTTTCGCGATGTGCAACTTTTACGGGTAGGTTAGTAATGGAAGGAGGATCGCACTTACCGCACGCATTGTTGTAATCGGAATTTGTTTAAAAATTGATTATACGCTATTGCAATTGTCTAATTTGTTATATTCAATAGTATTTATGACGAAGAATGTATCATATGCGAACATGGAGGCTTATCAGGTAATTCTTCGTCGAATTCTTTTTATTCTCAGTCGTAAAATCGTTTCTTGCTACGAGGTTAGAGAAGAACAGATTTGACAGTAAGCTCATATCGTATTTGTTTATTAGAATCCGAATAATTTGCCATTGGAGGATCTAAAATTGTCCGTCAGGACGGATGGTGTTACTGAAAGTATTGATGCTCTGGTACGTTGATCTCAATGAAGAGACAGCATGTATCATATGTGTAAAATAAAATATTTTCATACTAATAATTTTAGAGTAAATATTGGGCAAGCGATTATATCTTCTTACACTATGAAACACCTCAACTGTATGACGAGGATGGGAATGAAATTATGGGAGCAAAAGAACATTGGATGGAAGTCGTCAATAACATGATCGAAGACATGAAATGGTTACTCTGTCTCCCATATTATAAGTAAGAGCAGCAATAGTGTTCCTTAACATATATTTTTCATGCATTACATCATTATTCCTGTGTACCTTTTATTCAGATTCTGGTCGAACGTCATATTCAATAACTCGATACTAAACGCATTAGTATCTTTCCTACAAGATGCTCCACCATTCTACACGATAGAAAATTTTTCAAACTATCCAGACATGCTGGAGCTCTTAGAGACGCTGAGTCATTATGTACTCGTGGTTTTCACAAGACTTATTACGAATAAGGAAAGCAAGATTGAGTATATGAGCAATGCTTATTTTGGAACTTTATTGTACGAAAATTACGTATTCACAATACCAATCATCTTCGATCTCTGCCAGCTTTACGGTCGGGAAAATGAGAAAGTCGTCAGGCACATACTCAGAGATTTATTTACGTTAGAACCGCGGTACAACGATGATCTCAAGAGAGCTGTTCCTTGTCTTATAGAGGTGATGGATTCACGTATTTGTAATACTTGATCGTTCTTCTAATCGATGTTATTATTTTAGGCTTATGAAAACGTTGAACAGAAGTTCAACAATGATCCTACCCATTGTACTAACGAAGCAGTTTCGTTATCGAATCGTCCAAATAATGCCAACGAACTTACATTATTTAAGTTGGAAGACATGATACTGTATGTATTAGATATATCGTCGACGATTAATGCGTTTTTGAAAAACCATGTTCTTGCAATTAATATATTTCACAGAGAAGAGTTTATGAACAAGTAAGCAATGTATTCCTTACGTATCGATTTATACTAATTGTTTCTAATCATGCTAACGTTTATTAGACTTGTTAAAGTATACGAAAGCACAATTCCAGAGATGTATAGAGCATTATGTCAGTTAGCATACAACGATGAAAATATGCCAAAATACATGGAGTTGAAACATCGTTTGAACGTAACAAGAATTGAAATTCTATCTTTATTCCGGGCTATTATATACGAACCGATCTTGAATCTTCAGGCAAATTTGTAAGTTCATAAATATTTCAGTTAATATATTTATTACGTGCATAGAGAGTATTTGAACATATATAATTGTAATGTTGTGTTTAGAACTACGATAGAAGAGACAGCGATAAAGAAGGAGATCGATGATTACCTTAATTTATTGTCCAATGCAATTTCTGAAAAAGAATTTATTACAGATTACGATCAATTCTATCCTGTTAAAACAGACTTAAATACGATATCGAATCTTTGTCCTGAAATGTATCCTTCTTACAACGTCGCGTAATTATAATCACAATGATTAACAAACTATTCTCTAAGGAATACTTAACGAATATTCAGTGATACGATAAAACGTGATTACATATTGCAATCACTCGACACAATTGGGAAATGCAGTGACAATCGGCTTAGTATTATTTCTAACAACATAAATGTAAGATCTAAAAAGAAATTACTTTCCATAATCCTATAAAATTGTTGTAACACTTATTTTCTCATAGGAAGCCGGACCGAGTGGTGTTTTAAGTCGGACAACGATACCCAAAGCCGATACGAAACCTACTAAGAAACAGAACGAAGATAAATCCGTTGAAATAGCTTGTCTCGTATCTGCAGTTAAAGACATTTTTTATGACTTGGATGAACATTTTATCAAAGTAATTATTCTGTTATAAAATCAAGTGCAAACATATTTTATGAAATTTCGTTTTACAGCTATGCTTGGATCATTACAAGAACGATACGGAAGCTGTGATAAACGCCGCGTTAGAAGACAATTTGCCGCTTGAATTAAAGAAAATTAGAGATTCTCAAAACGTTCCACAAGAGATCTTCGTAAACGAGGATTTAGCTCGCGGTTTTGAGACATTGAACGTGAACGATAATTACAATTACGAGAACGATGTTCACGTTAAAACTGAAAAGATCATAGAAATACCCAAAGACTACATAACTAAAAAGTAAGTATCGATGGAAGATAATTATTCTTGATTATAAACGTAACATAAAAAAATATTTATTTCTAACAATAACAATTACATGTATTGAGTAATGATTATACAGTACATTCGTTTGAACAATTTGACGACTAAAACAAAATTCACTTTACAGTTACAGTCTGATCGCAGATGTTTACGATGACGAGTATGACGATACATACGACGATCGTGATACGAATGCGCAAGATGATTCTATTGAAGTAGATTCCAGACCATTTACTACACCAAGAGTTCGTATTCACATAATTGATGTTATTTCAATAATAACAATAGTAATTAGCAAACAATAACTTTAGGTCTTCTGGAAGAAGCAGAAAGTTGAAACTGCGGAGAACTCTGATTCAGAGGACGAAGAGATAAAGGGCGAGGCGAATGGAAAAGATCAGTTTGTACAGAATCCGGAAGAAGTACGTGCCAAAGCAGAACAACGAAGGCAAGCGATGCGAGGCAATAAACCGAACGTAATCGGTAAGTTTATTTTCATTTCCGTCATTGTACGAATCGTGTAGTACAAAAATAATGTTTTCACACGTCGCTGCTCAGGCGCACCCAAAGGTCGAGGGCAAGAAAAGGATGTTCTGTACAACAGGCAACAGAAGAATACCCAGAAGTCGAAACGTGCAAATCATAATCGCCGCACTGGTGCCCAATGGAAACGAAATCAAGGAATGGTTCCATCCTAAGTTTATGTATGCTTTTTTAATATCAATGTAAATACTGCCATGTGATAAATACATTCGTACCTACGTTAACTTCTCAATGTTTCCAACACGTAAATTATCGTTTAATTATTCGTAGAATTGTTTTGATTCTCAGTGATCTTTAACGATGGTGAGAGCTCTTATTCTATTGATTTGATCGCTCACTATTGTTTGATATTCTTCCTCAGGTATCATAGCGCTGGACGGTGATCCCGCAGCGTTTGGTAATGGCATTAGGTGGGTAAATAAATGCGTGCTACTTCCGTAGTAATCCAATTGTATCATGATCAAAGCTTGTACACTCGGTTTAATGTATTCTAATCTCTTCTCTAGAAACGTAGGCAACTCTGAAAGTAATTGAGCGTGTACAGTTTTCAACTCCTTGGCAGCTGCTTCTTCCATTCTGCGTTCTCTTTCCAGTTTCGCGATATGACTAGCAGTTCTATCCTTCTTCTCTTGCAACTTTTTCACACGATTGTAAGAGCACTTCCAAACGGCTACCAGTTCCTCGCGTTTTGCTATCGCTACAGCGATCAAAACAAATTCATCTCGCAACTTTTTCAAAGGCTCTATGAAAGTTTTCTGGCAAAGAATGGACATCTCTTCCACGGTTTTTCCGATCTACACGTACAAGCAAAATTTTGTATCATTTACAATTTGATACGAACGACTAATAATGGATCTTACCTGTGTCGTGACTGAATGATAGTCCTCCACGACTTTTCTAAATTCATTATCGAAATGTGCCAAGCCACAAGTCGTCAGATTGTACGTTAATCTTTGGTCAGACTTGTCCAGGTACATCACAGCTTCTACATATTTTTTCATTTCCTTTATCAACTTCCTGATTGTATCCTCGACACTTCAAAAGTAATTAGACCATTTTTAAGACAGAGCAGAGTTAATTGAATATAATTGTACTAATAAACGATACTTACTAAATAAGCCTCTGAACTGCAATATCCAGTTCTCTATCCTCTGCGTGAGTCAAAAGAGGTGGTACCGGAGTAGGTCTTTGAGTTATATGATTTTTCTTTAAAGGATTCCTACGTGACAATACCGTTTGAATAATCACTGCGTCAGCAGAATAGGTTAGCAGCCAATTATGAACCATGTAATTTGCTTACCACGTCATATTGCCGCTTAAATTCACAGAATCATTATAAGAGTATTTCACTGTTTAAAAGTAATTAATTCGTGAACGAATAATTGTTTTCGCTACTTTTGGAAACATCGGAACGACGTGTGTTTCCTTTTGGACGTTTTATCTGGTATAAGCCAGATGAGGCTGTAGATAAAACAGTCCACGTGATTCCACATTTAGACATACTATTTATTGTTTTCAATCAACACTTTCACAATTCAAGCAGTTCTTAAGAACCAGTCTTTTCTCATTAATTCAAAGTGTTTACATCTGGTCATAATCATCA